CCCCGTCTCCTTCTGAATTAACAACTTGCTGTAGGTGGTTCGCTGGCCAGTCGCCATGCTGAGGGAATGAGGCAAATTGCCGCAAAAGGGTTGCTGTCAAAGCAGAATGTTTCAGATTTATTTTGAGGTGTGAGATCGGACTCCAGTGAGTACTAAATAACTTTATAAACATTAATAAAACTGCCTTTACTGCAGCAGTGTTCTTTGTGAGTCAGCACTTTGTACTGACTTTTTATAAGCTTTATTGTCATTCCAGCAACAGTACTATGAGGCTACTTTATGCCTGCCTTTATTGCTTATTGTTACCCAGGAATTATAGCAGAAAAAAGGAAGCAGTGAGTTCATTTTAAGTGCACATTCCTAATTTTTTTGTACCAAGTCCCTAATTTTTTTAACACTATTTCCCTGCTATTGTGTGAAAACACGTATTATGCACTTTAAGGATCTTTTTGGATAGGCTGCTGGGTTTGGTTTCTGTAGCATATTCACAACTCTGTTTTAAGGCCAAAAAAGGAATTTTCCAAAAGCTTGCACATTTAAAGTATTGCAGCGTATCAGGCCAGAAACCATGTTAGTAGATGACTGAGCTGGGTTACGTCTAAGAACTAACAAAACTGCATTGAATAATTCTCTAACTTCTTGCACTTCAGGATTTACTTGATGCTGGGTATACTAAGATATAGCTCTTACTGTTGAACTGATGTTTATATTCAGCTGGTTAATATACTTTAAATATTTACATGGTCAGATATTTCAAATAAGATGTTTCTAAGCCAGAGTTTCTTGTCATGACAAATTCTAATGTAAGTTTTTGCTACAGTCTTTAGATATTTTTTTGTGACCAATGGTGGTGTTTAGGAGGAACTAGACACACTGGGTTTTATTTCCAGTTTGGTTATGCCAGTGCCATATAAGCAGAGTCTTTTTTTTTAATTTCAATACATGTTATAATATACACCACTGTCTTTTCCTCCAGTGACTTTTTTTTTAACGCTGTTCTCACCTAAAAATAAAAGTTTGCTTGAAGTGAAAAACAGTTGCTAATTTTCTAGCATTCCTTAAAACTTAGCTTGCAAAGGTAACTGCAAAATAACCATTTGTCTTTATTTCTGGTATTTTTCTCTGCCAGATGTGGACAACAGTGCCGTGGTGGTTGTGTCTTCTAACGTGGCATGGCTACATGCAGAATCAAAATTTCAGTGGCAAGAAAATATAAACGTGGCTTTTTTATCAGTTTTATGTTGCTCCTTAATAGTTTTGGAGGTGGTTTGTTTTGTTTAAGAAGCTTTCCATTTTGCTCTTCTAGTTTCCTGCTCTGTCAGCTGTCTTCCCCCTGCAATTAGAAGTCCACACTGAACAAGATGCAGGATGAACACAGATTTTGTACAGTAAAATCCAGTGTTGAGAATATTTCAGAATGGAAAAACTGAAAATACACTGTAATGCCCTGACTGTTGCAGTACAGTAAGGCAGGCCAGGCAAATCCCTTGGATTTCATATCTGGTAGGTGGAAGAAATTCAATCTGTGGATCACTGACAGAAATGCTGCCACTTTCTTTTGAAATGTTTTTTTCAGCATAATGTACAGGGGGAGCAGGAATAAGACTGCCAGGATGGAGGAGCACCTCGCAGTGCCGTCACAGCTTGCAGTGTGGAGTTCTGAACGCATGGGAGACGCAGCCCAGCGGTGCAGTGGTTTGTTTACGCAATTGGTTTACTGCATCCAACAAGGTCAGGAATGTTCCTTCTCTGGGGTCTATGAAAGTCTGTGTTTGATTTGTGGAAAAAGCATACTTTGTTTTTAACATAAATTATTTTTCTTGCTGTCAGCTTATGAACTCTGCTGTTGAATGATTCAGCCTGAGTGCATTTCCATCAATAGTTCACAAGATGAAGAATATTTTTTTTAAGATGTGCTAACAGCAATAATTAGCACTGTCAGTAAGATTAGATCCTGTGTGGAAGAATGTTTTTTGGGGAGTCTGTAAGTGCTCTTCCAGTGCAGGTAATTTTGTGTCTGACCCAGAGAGAGGGTTCCCTTTCACTGCCTGTAATTATCTGGAGGGTGAGTAAAAGTGCAGATTCTAATTTCCCAGAGCAAAAAGTAATGGCAGCATTTTAAATAATGAAAATGTAATTCAGAAGAGGTGCAATACATCATGTATGTACTTGATCTGCCCCCATCTGTCAGTTTTCTAGTTTGTGAAGTTAATTTGCATCTGTTAAACATCTCGGGCTTCTCCTGCTGTTGTACTTTCTTCTCTCTGATTCACTTCTAGTACTGTTGATAAACAGTTCTTGTCTTGACAGGGTGTTTAACATAAGAAACCATCCCTAGGTGCCCTTCCTGTTGGGAAATTCATTTGTATCCTTCCCTATAGGGAGTCAAAAGCATAACTGACAAACCTGTCCAAACATCAGGGAGGCGTTGCTAGCGTAGTGCTGCTGTTTCATCCTTGGGGAGCCTCCCAGGGCTCTGAGGGTCCCATGGCACAGACCCCAGAGCTCCATGTTAACAAACCAGCCTTTCTGCAGGTTGTTGCGCTCCAGTCTGCACTAGTGACAAAAACGTGGATTTTCTGAGGTCTCCTGGATTCGATGCAACGTCAGATCAATCTAACAGTGCCAGTGAGGTATTGCAGGAACACGTGCAATCCAGCAGGCTGATTCTGTTGGCTGGGATGGGGGCATAACTAAAAATTATTTAATAATATCATCAGCCTATCGCCTTCCCTTCCTGATGAGTGAACTGTCCCTGCCAGAGCCTGAAAACCAGTGGTGTCAGGATGAGCACTTTTAAGTATCTCACCTGTTGTCTGTGGGAGGTTAGTGAGTTGCTTAAGCCTTTTGAGCCTCCTTCAGAGCCATCTGTGATGTCTGCCTTGCAGAGCTCTGACACCTGCTCCTTACTCGGCCCCAAGGCTTGAGAGATTTTCTTTTTTTTCCCCAGAAAGCCTCACTGTGCTTCTGAGCCCCTCAAAGCACTACTCAAACCCGTTGATGACATGGCAGCATCCTTTTTCTAGGCTGGACACAGGGCTTGTGCAGTCCGTGGGGACCCAGAGTTTTAGCGGAGGTGCTGCGGGTGGCTCTGCTTTCCTTGCTGGCTGGGGAGGAGCGTCTGGGGATTGGGAGCCCGAGCACCGTGTACCGCACTGCTGGCAGGGTACTCACCTCAAAGGAAGACACGCTCTCTTCCTCCCTGACAGGAGAGGCACCGGCTCTGCTGTGCCTTCTCCTGCGCCAGGTAAAGCCTCTGTAAATTCCCAGCAGTGGCATTGCTAAGTCAGTATCAGCCTTACTGCCAGAAACGTGCACAATCGGACTGTGTTGCTCGCTGCTCCTGTTCCCATTGCTCGCTGGGGACAGGGCAGCCTGCTCTGTGTCTCGCCAGCTCTACCAGCATTCAAGCCATGTGTTACACCTACAGCTCTGCTGCTGCGATGCTGTGCAGAGCTGCTGGACAGGCTCAGTCTTGGGGAAGGATTCCTCATCCGTGGGAGTGCTGCTGGTGTGCTGAAGCAGAAGGCAACCTCACCTGCAGATCCTTGTGCTGAAGCATCAGACCCCTCTGCTGAACTCAGGTTCGGGCTTGAGAGGCAGTCGTGAGAGTCCCATCTACCCTGCCTGACCTTGGGACACTCTGGGACAGACAGTGTCCCCATTCGTTGTCCTCACACGCTGTGTGTGGTCGGTACAAGTGTTGGAAACACTGAACCAAAAAATGATGGGGAGGTTAAAAATGTGGTGGAGGTAACTTGGATGCTAAACAAGTTCTCAACAAGTGAGCGCTACCCTGGGATGGCAAAACTGCTTTTTTAATTCTAGATGGAGTACAAGATGTTGTCTGTCTTGTGTGCGTGTATCTGAGTGTCCCCTTTCACAGTTTGGAGGAGGCAGATGAGAATAGCGAGACGGTCCCTATCCAAAGACACGTCATTTTGCGCATGAAATCATTATTAAACGTGGAATGAGGTAAAAACAACACCACCACCTGTGGGCATATGTTGTGAACTTGTCATGGTAGATGTTGCTAGCTGTGAGGTCTAACTCAGAGGTATCACTGAGCTGGATGCAAGTGCAGACTGAAAAAGGCAGGAGCATAGGCTTTGGGGAAATTGTTCTAGGTTTAGTTTTGGCTTTGCAAAGGCTCACCACTGCAACCTCTTGGATGACCCTGGCAACAGTGGATACCTCCTGAGCAGCAGCAGTCCTGCGGAGGTGCATTGTGCTCCTTTGGCCTCGCAGGTACTTTGGAGAGCCAGGCAGAGTGTGGTGGTGGCAACAGCCTTGAGCTGTTTGGCTGGCCACAGTGATGGCCACGAGATGAAGGGTTGATGCCCAACAAGAAACGCAGGGGTGTGAGCCTTAGTGCTTCAGGCTGCATCCTCCAGCCTTCCCCTCTGACAGTGCAAGGCAGCCGGGGAGCTGCACGCAGCCTGGGACAAAAGGACAGGCTTTTCACCAGAGACTAACTGCGGCCCACAAACCAAAACAATATTTTATTCTCACCATTTCCACATGCTCTGGAGGCTGCGCCTGGTCTACATTAAAGCACTGTGGTCACACTGAGTGGATCCCCCCTTCCCTTCTGACTGAGCCTGGAGACCTTGCCAAGGCACATCCCAGGCCCGGACGCTGTCCCCAGCCCAGGAGCCTCATATGCTTTTGCTTCCAGTTCTGCAGGAGGATTCATCAACAAGAGAAAAGCCTGGGCTGTTAGATGGTTATGCTTTGCCTTTCAAGCCAAGGGTGTCTCAATTTGCCAAGAAATGCATGGGCTCTGCTGAGCCCTGTGACAGGACCGGGGCTGTGCTGCCTGGGTTAGTACCGTGCACAGGGTGGTCAGAGCCCACGGGAATCAACGGGAGCCTTTCTGTCAGGCCAGTGGGCTCAGAACCAGGCTTCTGTAACCAGCCCCTCTGCATCACCTCCTACTTCAGCCCGTGAATTTCCCTTTTCCCTTCGCATGCAAGCATGGATCGCAGCGTCTGCCTCCCTCCAGCCCCATACATGTCCCTTGCGTACAGCAGTAGGGAAGGAGCTTGAGTCAAGGCGTTCGCGCACCCCATCCAGCCAGGCGGGCGCTAGCCAATAGGCTTTCCTGAGCCGTGTGGGTGTTTCTTGTTCACAAAGCCGCAGAGCTTAATAAGCTGCTTAAGTCTAGCACAAGCTTAACTCCAAGGAGCCCCTAGTTGCACCCAGTCTTTTCCCAGAGGAGCGATGCTGCTCTGCATCTCTCCAGCATGAGCAGGAGAGATGTGCTTGCCTGCTTCCCACCAGCTCACTCGTGCTCAAAGAACTCATGGCAAGCAGCGGTGACCATTGCAATGAAGGCTACAAACTCCTGGAAGTCGCACTCTGCGTCCCCATCGCTGTCCAGCGCCTCCATGACTTTGTCCACAGTCTCCTGGTCTTTGATCTCCTGAAGGGATAAAAACAGGCAGCCAAAGCTGGGGAGGATCAGAGTGTGGCCCAGACTGTAACATGTCCCTGCTTCTTGGGTGCTCTCATGGCTGAATCTCTGTTCAGACACATCCGAAATAGCTCATTGCTGTTTCCCGTCTGTGTTAGGGCACCGCCCTGCGCCTGCAGCAGCATCTGTGCAGCAGCAGCCCTCCTGAAGCAGGAATTGCAGCCACAGCTGTGCCACTGGGAGGGGGCATCTTGAGCCCTTTGGGGCAAGGCTGTCGTCTGTGTCCCCCCCCCAAGGAAGGAAATTTCCCTAGCATGCAACCCGAACCCCAGCCCCCAACACAGGCTGTTGCCCTTGTCTTGCCATCTGCTGCTCCTGTGGAGCTGGAGCAAAGTGTTTAATGCACTGCTGCATGAATAAACCCCTTCCCCTGCGCTTGCTTCCCACACAGGATGGAGTATGCAGAGCCCAGCCGCTGCTCGACACAGCTCCCTTAGCCTAGGTAAGCATGCTGCACGGAAGGCAATACTTACACCAAGGAAATGGGTCAACTCATTGTTAATGAGCTCCTTCAGTTCTGATTTCTTCAGCTTGTGCTTGTCTCCCTCCTTCCCTGAATATTGGTGGAAGGCATCAATGATGGCAATCATGGCCTTCTCCAGCTCAGACATGGTGACAGTGTGGCCCTGAGATCAGAGAAGCAATGGGTGCATTAGTCTGGGCAAGCTCCAGCTCTGCCTTTTGCTTTGCAAGCATGGCCACCCTGGGACTCGTCCCACGCATCCCCAACGTCGAACCCCGCACTCAAAACATGCTGCTGAAAACCACTAGCAGGTCTCGTTTCAGGGAGGACGATCCTGAGAGACCTTGGCTCTGCCTCCCACAGCTCTCGAGGAGAGGAGAGCTACAACACAACGCCCGGACTAGGACTGGCGCGTACCGGGAGCTGACACATCCCCTGGGACTGATGTGAGTTTGGCATCTTGGGTCTCTGTGTGGGCAGAACGCAGGAGGGAAAATGAGGAGAGGCTGCAAAGCCCTGGTGGCTTCCAGCAAGGTGCTCCTGCATTTTCCATATCTGCCAGCCTGGCTAACAGGTGGCATGTTGTCACTTCCCCTCTTCTTTGGCTCCCACTGCTTAACCCATTGCTTTATTCTCCTTGCTTGGGAGAGGGGTGGGTAGGGGGGTTATTTCTGCACATGGAGCTTCAGAAAAGTTTTGCTGTTTCCTCTGCCACAGGCACTCTTGCCTCTGCCTTTCTTGCCTGCAGGCCTGTCTCCAGCTGAGCAGTCAGAGGAACCCAGGCAGGAACCAGTTTTGATGAGTGCCAGCGGGACAAAATAAGCAGATCTCCAACCTCCCTCCTCCCATGCTTGATCTGAAGACCCTGTCGGGAATGTTAATAATTGAGATTGCAGCGTTTCCTGCAGATTTCACAAACAAACCAAAGAGACTCTGATCGAAAAGGGAGAGATGCAAAACCACCTTCTGTAAAGCTATTGAATGCACTGATGCTGGGGGAAAAAAAGCCTTATTGTCTGGCACTTGCTTAATTCATACCTCACGGGTAAATGTCTCCTGCCCTGCAGCCTGGCTCTTGTTTCACAGCTGAAGGCACTAGTTTCACGCCATAAACTCACTCTCAAGCTGACGCCCCCCCCGCCCCCGGCCCCAAGCGGCAGTCAGTGTCCAAACTGCAAGGCTGTTTGCAGTCAGGTAGGACGTATTCCTGAAGCACTTTATGCATGCATCCTAAGAGCTCTTTGCATGCTTGTGCCCTGCCTGCACCAGGCTGAGCTAGCTGCCAGCGGA